TTTCACTTACCACAATGCTTTCAATTCATCCATGTTATAGCAAGTATCAAAATTTCATTTCTTTGTAGGACTGGATAATATTCTATTGTATGTATAAACCACATTTTGTTCATCCACTCATCCATCAATGGACATTTGGGCTCTCAGCTTTGATTGTTATGAACAAGGTTGCTGTGAACACGGGTGTACAAATAGCTGTTTGGGTCCCTGCTCTCAGTTCTTTTGGGTGTATGCCTAACAGTAAAATTCCTGGATGCGATGGTAATTCTAGTTCAATTTTTGAGGAACAGTCACATGGTCTAACATAGCAGCCACACTATTTTACATTCCCACCAGCACCATATAAGGATTCTAGTTTTTCTACATTATCCTTGTTAACACTTGTCATGTTCTGTTTTTTTTTTTTTTTTTTAGATAATAGCCATCCTAGTAAGTATGAGATGGAATCTCCTTGTGCTTCTGATTTGCATTTCCCTAATGACTACCAAATTGTCTTTATAAACATGTTGCCCTCCCACCCTCTACACATACAGCCTTAGGTAGAAATGGAAAATAACTACCCCATTGTTTATCTCTGTGAGGCAAGTGAGGCTATCAGGGTAATGATATTTGTTGGGAGTGAAAGGTGTCAGGGAATGAGGTAGGGAAGCAAGCTATGTATACAATACAGGCACCTCAGTAGATCTGTTTCCAGGGTTTGTACTGTGGAGTAGGTGAAACTATTTTAAATAGATGCCTTTGGAACTTCAGTGACTGAAACTCTGAGTGAGATATAACTAAGGCAAGCTTGCTGTAGGCTGGATCTACCCTGTATAATCCTTCCTGGTTTAGGGTGAGGTGTGGGCATAAGTACTCCCTCTTCCCAGAGAATAATCATTGTCGTCATCTGCTACAGAAGCCTGAGCCCATTTTCTTTCCTCTTCCTGGGGAGGAAATCACCCAGACATCTTGCAAAGCATTAGCTTAGGTCTTTGAACCACCCTGCTACCTAATTTCTTCTCCTGAAACAATATACAAACCCCTCTTCATCCACACTTCCTAGCTTCTTAATTTAGCAACTTATATTCTGATAAGAAAGGAAAAGAAGTTAGAATTTATTGAGCACCTAATGTAAGCTGGCACCTTGCTAGCCAGGTATAGTGGATGAAAACATGGCTTCTGTCCTTGTAAGCAAGTGCTACAGGACTTATAATTTAATATAAATTGCAAGAGGGTTCCAAACTCTAGCGTGCATTGGAACCACCTGGGGGAGCTCATCTTCAGAGTTTCTCATTCAAGAAGTCTGGGGTTGGGACTGATAATTTGTAGTCCTAACAAGTTCCCAGGTGATGCCAATATTGACGGTCCCTGGGCTATACTTTGAGACCCATTCATTGCTTTACATCAACCATGTGAAATAAGTATTTGTCCCATTTATAGATGAAGAGCAGAAATACAGAGAGGCCAAATGACCTGTGCCAGGTCTTAAAGACTGTGAGTGCCAGAGTTTGGACTTGAAACTGGGTGGGGAGCTCCAAAGTGCCTGTTGCTTCTATCATATCAGGAATGGCAGAATCACAGCACTAAAGTTTCCCTCCTATAGTCCACCCCAGGACAGGGAATACTAAGTCATTATGGCATTTCTGTGTGCAGCCTTGGAATTCTGCACACACAGCTGTCGACAAACATACCTACCTATCAATGGAAACAAAGTTTGTTATCCCTGTGCCACCCTATATAGACTATCTAAAATGTGACATTACCAATAAATCTATAAACAGCTAAAAAGAAAGCTCACTTGAGCTTCAGTTAGCTTTCTTAGGAGTAAAATAGTTATTGGATGGGAGCTATGAGAGGCACAGCATCCCCAAATTGTTCCAGGACCTCACAGATCACAACTAGAATCTTCATTTAACACCCAGGCAATGCAGGACCCTTACCTTTATTGTAAAGTTTTAAATATAGATGAAATAACTAAAGAGATTTTTTTAAAGCTTCCGTATTTTTTCTTAATTCATATCTCCTGTGTTTTGTTCTAAAAATTCCATTATTTGGCAGTGAGCTTGGCAAGGGATATGAAATAGTGCTCAGTAAACACTTGTTAAGAAAGGTAAACAGAGTAGGTGCCAGAGGTAACTGTCTCCACACATGATGAAATCTTTTAACCAACTTACAGGGGGAATAAACATGATTGAACAACGAGACGACACCTTGAATTTACATCCTACTTTTGAGCCACAAAGTCTTCCGCAAATTTCTGTGTTTTTTATGTTCTTAAGAAATGAGAAATGGATGGAAAACTGACCAAACTCATCAAGAGAATAATTTGTGAATTGTATCAGGTACCACCACTGTTATGCCTCTAGGACTTGCTCATATGTTTTCCAAAAGGAGCTAATAGAGGCCAAACCAGAATTTTGCACAGATCAGGGTCAGTCTCCTAACATATATATACATATAAGTGATCAGAGGAAGCTATGTTCGGTATGATTTTCCTGTCTTCCTAAATAACCCACCACTATCTTTCCCATGTTTTTGCCAGCCCACATGATGTCTGGTCCTCATTACCACTACCAATAAATATTTAGTCTATGGCTATTGTGTGTACAGGGTGATCTCTTGTCTCAGTAGCTGTTTGTAAGCAGCTTAAATGCAAGGCAAGGATAAACCCATTTTTTTTAATGTCTCAAGCTTCCCCCAACACTTAGCAATGCCTGTGTATAGTAGATAATAAATAATTCATTACCTGAAAGTACAAACCTGTTTATGAAAATACAAAGCAGAGGTGTATGTTGGAGGTAAGGAAAGGTAGCTCTGCAAACAGACTGCCTCAAGGCTGTCTCTAACCAAACTAACACACAGTTACGATAAACATTGATGCCCGACTTTGGCTGTGATGTGCCTCATGGTGGGCAAGAGGGGGAGTGGGTTTGTTAAAATGAAAAATAGTCATCCTCTGGCAGCATCAATACCAAGGTTTTTCTGCAATTAAGTTTTATTTATATAAAAAAAATTTTGGTGCTGGGGATCAAGTCCAGGACTTCAGTTACATATGATAGGCAAGCCCTCTACCATTGACCTTCACCCCCAGCTTCACAAGAAGTTTTAAGGTCACATATTAAAAGTAGTTACATAAGTGGAAAACTAACTGTGCCTTATAAAAGACTTAACAGGAGAGGCAGAATTCTCAGTTTGGAGCTATTTCTTTTTTAAAATGTCAAGGGTAGAGAAATCCATAACTGGTTAATATTTCTGCTCTGTACTGCAAGCAAATTGGATTGGAGCCAGGCTGGGAGCCTGCCCCTGTCTTACTTCTGTCCCATGTAGCTTGGATGTACTGTTGGATGGGGCAGGCCCTCAAGCACAGAGGGGTTGTTTAATATTTAGGTAGGTTCTGGAGCTCTTTGGACATTCAAAGAGAAGAAAAAGGGTGTAGTTTGTCTTTAACATGGGCTGACCGGCCACCAGAGGAGCCCCCGTCTTCCCTAAAAGCCCGGTGAGTGAAGAAGGTCTCTCAACCCTGTTAACCCAGTGTTCTCTAGTAGGCAGTGGATCTAGATGTTTAGGTCCGAATCTTGGATAATAAGTGTGGTGCAAACCATTACTGTATTATATTAGAGTATGAATGTCCTTTAAATTTTTTGATAGTTACCTTTGGGGGAAGCTATTTTGCCCAGTCCATTGGAGATGGGAGAGGAAATATAAAGCAAAATTCTGATGTGGGTATTTGTTTGGGGCTAAGGGACTGGGAGAGGCACCAGGGGTGTGCTTCCTTTGTAGTAAAAGCCCTAATAGCCTCAGTGTAAGAATGTCCAATAGACAGGTGGAAGATGCCATGACTCACACAGTGGTGACCTCCTCATGGTTCAGCTGAGAATCTAGGCGAATTGGATCAGTAGAGGATGGCTGTATGTGCTAGTCAGCCTTTCCATTGCTCCGTAGGAGAATGCTGGTCTGGGTGCTGGTGGTGTCAGGTGTTGAGGGATGAGTTCCCTAAGTGATTTCTCTGTTTCTGGGAACTGATTCAGAAAAATTCTATTGGGGTATGCATCCTCACTTCCAGTGTGTTTTATATCCATCTGTGGCTGGTGCATGCATGAAAATTTTGTGAAAAACTTGAAACTCTATTACCATGATGATTTTCAGAATTTGTTTTGGAACTTTTTGTCTTTTAAAACAAGGATATTAAGTACTGAAGAAACACAAGCCCACTATGAACAAGGTTAATGAAAGCCACCCCTTCCAGGCCATTTACATCCTGAAGACAGAAAATACCCAAGCTGTAGTAATTATTTCCTGTAGAGAAAATGGTGATTGGGAGTTGGAGACATGGCCCAAGTACTAGAGCTCCTGCCTAAGCAAGGGTGAGGCCTTCAGTTTAAATCTCAGTACTACAAAAAACAAACACAACAAAAAGCCTTTAAAAAAAAAAAGAAAAAAACTTCAATTAAGGGTGCCAGTTAGCCTTCATTAGAGGCACCCTGGCAGAGCTAGTTCAAATAGTTGAGAAACGAGTGACAGGGTGACATGGGAGAGATCCTATGGAATAGGCCAGTTCCCTCCAGGCATCAGCTGCTCCTGAGATAGGCCAGTTTCCTCTCCTGTATGGATTTGGGAAATACTATGCTCCTGGGAGAAGCTGAGACAGTGGGAAATCTGTTCTTCTCTTTAAGCTTCCAGTCCCAGGTGCCTAATAATACCAAGAGGAAGACTTCCCAAGTGGCTTAACTTTTGGAGGTCAGGCGAGACTTCTGCAGAGTGAAAAGCAATGGGGGAAAACCATGAATGGGTGCAGAAAGGAGTGGCTGGATCACCTGCCTGGGGGATGAGCCTCCCATGTGACTTCATGGTTGTGCAAGAATTGGGCAACATTTAGCGAGGGTGGAGTGCAAAGGCGTTTGCACTCCTAATAGATCCCTATCTCCTCCATGGGGAAAAACAAGTATTAAAGAGATCTGTACAGCATCATAGGAGGAGGAATTGGTTGCCTTAGTAGCCTAGCATACATATTTGTCCTTCAGGAGTTTTATTCACAAAGCACCCGCTGAAGGGAGGTCACCAGGCTGAAGACCCCAGAGGATTAGGAGGACTGTTCCTGCCAACTGGACTACAGTGAGTGGGAGTGAAGTAGGAGTAAGACAACCACACATGTGATCACAGTCAAGGTAGGAGTTAGTTAATACCATATATGGAAATGGGGGAAATGGTTCTGTGACTTCTGGAGAGAAACAGTAGGTAGGCTCTGTAGTCAGATTGCTTGGGTTCAAGTCCAGACTCTCCCTCTTAGCTGTGGTATCTTGGAAAAGTAACTTAAATAATCTATACCGATGTTCTGTAATTGCAAAATGGGGACACTGTAGTATCTACATCAGAAGGTAATGGCCTATGCCTTGCAAACATTAGTCTTAGCTCCAAGACCAGAAAGGAGGGACTGTGCTAACCTTGAATTTGTGACTTACAACCTCCAGGTCTCAGTTTCCTCATCTGTACAGGAAAAGGATCAGACTGGATAATTGTTGACATCTTGTTTATTTTAAAATGCTATGATTCTATGGCTGAGTAAACATTAAATACCTGCTATATGCCTCAGTACTATGCTGGGCATGATGGAAATGTGAAAAGGTAGAATTTGGGATTCCTGCCCCCAAGGAGCTATCATGTAAGTGAGAAGACATTAATAGACAGGCGAATATTAGAAAATTAAAGAATATTATAAATTAAAGACTTGGTGTGGGTCTTACAATAGGAATAAGAGAGTTTTGAGTGGACTGAAGTAGTCAAGAGACTTGACAGCAGACATCCAACATTTAGAACCACGAAGACGTTAGCTAGAAGCCCAGACTTGTTTGTCAAATCCAAAAATTCTGAAGCTTGGAACATTGGCATTAGTATTTGAGTTGAACTGTAGAAAAACAACTGCCACCTATTTGGGTGGGACAAAGTATATAAAACTCCTTGTCCAAAATGATAGTACGGATTGAACTATGAGGAGGTTCAAACTGGCTTCCCATATATTCTTGGGTGATAATTTCATTATAGTATAGAGTCTGGCACAAAGTAGGCACCAAAAAAAAAAAAAAGTTGTCTTTGGAAAACTCCGGGTTTTGACTGTTCAGCTTTAACAGTGGGTGGTGTTCTAAGCCCTGCCTCTAGAGGGCAGTGCACAGAGGAGGCCTTCCAGAGCGCTGGGAAAAGCTTAGTACTGCCTTAGGCCTCCTAAACCAGCCCTGTTTCTCAGAGATGAATTCTTCTGATCCCTAAGGTTTAACTATTGGGGGGTGGGGAGCTGTAGGCACCCCCTCCCCAGCGGTGTCTGAATTTAGGTTTTGAGGAAACAGCAACAGCCTCAAATTTCTTTTACAGTCTAACTATCCCATGGTTCCTCAGGATTTATATGTAAACTGGCTGACATAAGTGATAAGAAAATTAGTTCTTAGCAGAGACTCCCAAGGGCCCAAAGAGTGGTGTAGACAATAGGTGGGGTCACCCCAGCAAGGGAACTGGAAGGGGTGAGCTAGGAGCTTAAATGAACCTTGAAGAATGAGTAAAGAATATGTGAGAAGATAAATAGGGGGAGGCATCAAGTACTTCCCTTTCCCTTATTATTCCCTCCTAAACTACTTCTCACAAACCAAACATGGAGGTGGCAGGTCCATTTAGATCAGCTGATTTATTCTGGGGGAGGAAATGACAGGTGAGGTGCTTGAACTCCCTGGCCTCAGTCAGCTACTGAGAATTCCTACTCATCACCCAAGCAAGTCAGCAATGACCTGGTTTGATAGTAGTCAGTTCAAGCCATCCTGGCTTCAGACCAGCAGACTGCAAACCCTCACAGCTTTCTACTGAATTTCTTTCCTATTACAGACCCAGAAATCCTGGTGAGAAGTGTTAATACATTTTATTTGCATAGCACCATCCGTGAAGGCATAAGGATGTAACAAATTTCCCCTTCACACAGGCACCCAAAATAGGAGGGAGGGCGGGAGTCAGGAAGGTTCAGAAAGGTGAAAGAGAACAGTGATTTGCTTTCAGAACCCTTTGGAGAAAATCTGAGGTGAACCTGTTCAGAATATAACTGTCTTCTTAAACACCCTCTTCTCTCCCAACTGTTACTCTTGTCTCATTCCCCTTTCCCTCCTCCTTTTCATTCATAAAAAAAGTTATTTTTTCCAAATAAGCAAAGTGGAACCAAACTTTGCAACCTCCGAATCTATGAAATAAACATTATTCCTAATGAGCCTCTGGGAAAGGGCTCACCTTTGAACTTGACCAAGGACTACGATAGTAAGAAAAAGTCTTAGCAACTGGATAGAGTGTTAGAGCTTCCTGGGATTTTTAAGTTGGGTTATGTATCACATTTCTTTTCCTTAATAAGGACAGTTCCAGAAATCCTTCCTGGACGATTAGGCCATGTCTGGAAGTGGAGATCTTGGGTTGGTTACTACCTCTGGTTTAGGAATTGTCATCTGGTGCTAGGCAACAGCAGGGTAGAAAGCCTGAGCTGTTTCTAGAATGTTATTACTTTCTGAGGACTCAGCCCCTCATAGTCCCTGTGAGGCAGGATAGGAGCACTCGCACTATCCCAGTTTGAGGCAAGAGGAGACCTAGAACAGGATGGTGCTCAAGGGAAACTGAGCAGCTAAAAGGTAATAAGGCCAAGGAATTCTCCCACCAGTCAAGCTCAGTTTTCCTGGAGACCTTGCCTATTCATTGTCCTGTGCTCCTCTTTGTCTGATTTTTATTAAACAACAAAAACCACTTTCTGAAAGACAGAAAGGCAGTCTGTAGCCTTTGCCTGCCTCTATGGAATATTACACATTTTAATTTTCCTAGCTACCTCCTCACAGTCAAGAAATTCACCTGTAGGCGTCAAGATGAATCATTCACAAAATGACTTAAATCCAACCAAGAATGTGAAGCTGGAACTGCTAAACACGTTCTGATTGAGGTCCCAGAACTTTTATGTCCTGCATTTGTTGTAACATGCAAAAGCATCACTAATATTTTGTTTCCCTTGTCTTGAAACATTTCCTCTAAGTTTCCATCTTAATGCTCTTAATCATGACAGAATCAGATAAGCCCTCCCCTCCCCCATTCCCAAAGTGCTCTAGGATCAAAGGCGTTGCTGATTCCAGAAATGTGGATGACTGTTTCTGAGCTAAAGGAATCACTTCATGACCCAGGCTGCCTTTTCTCTTCTCTAGATCCCTACACCCAAGGCCAGGCACACGTAGATGTTTCAAGCACAGCCTCTGAACTGAAAGGATCCCATGTACACGTGGCCTACCCTCTGTTCAGCACCTGTTTAGCATAGCTTATCATTTAAAGCAAGCCATCTGCAAAGAACAGTTTCCCCAGTGTCTCTGAGATTTGCCAGGTTCTCTAGAATTGGCAACTCAGCTGTGACCTCAGAAGCCTTGGCTCTGGCAAGGCCAGGTCTCTGCACTAAAACAGGCTCAGTGCCCATGGAGATAATCTCCTCTTGTAATATCCGCACAATCATCTCATTGTTGAAGAGCAAGGAATGCAAAAACAGAAGAAATGCTACAATCGGTTGCCCATGGCTCAGCTAGCCAGGAGTCTGCTTCCCGCTGAGGGCACCTTGGGACACCTCAGGAGGGACATTCCCAGCCATCACTCTGGAGGTCAGCTGACTAGCCTCATCAGGCTTGAGCCTGCCCTGTCTTCTTGGGGCTCTCTCACCATCTCTTTGGGCTAACTCCCCTTTACCCTTAAAATCTCAAATGAGAAAGCCCTCCCCACATTGCCCCAGGTAGCAGAGTGAATGGCACTGGCCTGGCATGTGCCCCTTGGCCTTGTCTGCTTGTGTGGCTCCCTCACTAGGCTGTGAGCCCCTTGAGGGCAGGGACCTGTGTTCCCTGTGTCTTCAGTGCCTGCCCCATTTTAGACACTTAGTAGATTTTAAATAACAAAAGCTAAAACTCACCAATCACAAATACCATATGGGATTTAAATTCCAAACAGCCCTCTTTAAAAAAAATTCTGAAACTCAAAGGAGTTCTTGCTTTTTCTATGTAGCCAGGGGTGATGTTTCAGAACTCCAGTTGCTTCAGAACTTTCTTCTAGGTGCATAGTGCTATGGGATTTGGCAGACTGCCCTTGGGGAAAGGACAGTGTGTTTGTCAGAATCTCAGTGGCCATTAAAAATCACTCCAGTGGGACCAAAGCTACATCTGACATTAAAAAAAAAACAATTATAGGAAACAGAAAAGAGTGTTTCTTATGTGGTTCCTGAGAAGTGAAACTTTTCCTTATAACCACTGGCAGCAGGACTTGGAGTGTCTTGAACAAGCTAAGAGACAACTCAGGTGAGCTCCTGGGGGTTGCCCAGTCCCCCTCCACCCAGGTTTCCCCATTTTTCCAATAATTTAATGGAGCACAGCACTGCCTCTGAAGCTTCAGGTACTTCTGAGTAGTTACTTCCCGGTCTTAAGGTCTTTCTTTGCAGCAGACTTACATGTGAATTACTGCTTTCCACACAGTAGAATTAGCCATGCTTCTGCGCTCCAGTCTGCATGTTATACAACTGTTTATCTGCTGAGCAGAGCTGAGCACGCAGGTGGCTGGCCACTGTGTTGCCAGTAGTCTTTTCCTGAGCTGTTAAAAAGCAGCAGGCATCACAGTCTAGAAACTCACCACTGCTTCAGAGGCTGTGGAAAGAAGTTCCGGTTGCTCCACCAGTCTGGCCGGGAACAGGTAAAATGCTTAACGTTTTCACCAGAATCTCTTGAGAAGTGTGACCAGTTCCTTGTCACCTGTTAGTGTTAATGGGCAAAACCAGTTTTTACAGAAAAAATATCAACTTGTTATTTCTTTGACTGCTGGGCTGGATAATGATATAAAAATGACATTATCTCTAATCAAAGTGATTTGCAGAGATCACCGACAACCTCAGTAGCAGAGCTTTGCCATTAGCAGGTGAGCCAGATAAGAGAAGCAGCTGTGCTCTATTAACCCCTCCTGGTGGGGAGGTGTGTTGGGTCTGGTATAAATTGAAGGGGGAGGGCAGATTTTTGAAAGTTGGAAATCGGGCTAATAGAGAGTGTTTATTCCAAAGTGTGTGTTATTCTTTAAGCCCACTTGCTGATTTTTTTTTTTCCCAGTACTGGGAAATGAACCTAGGGTCTTGAGCAAGCACTGTAGA